TAGTCCCTGTTGTTACTGTACTACACCTTGCGTACAGTCGGTCTTTCAAAGTGATTGTAGTAGAAACCAACGCAACTTGCACAAATAGTAATCAATAGAAGTGTCACAGCAGCCACAAAGAACCAATGTATCATAGTCAGTGAAATTATAGATGCATATACTAATTTCAACACATAAAAAGAGTACCATTGAAATCTGTGAAGGAAATGGAGCACAATGCTCTCTTAATTCAAGTAAATCTGAGTAAAACTGGCTGAGATATCTCAGTTTGGGATTAGAATGCTCGGTGTGAAGTGGAGAAAACTTCGTACCTCAGGAATTGTAATAATGTTGTGGAAAAGCGGTGGGCTGATTGTACGGTATTGGATGTCTGGCACCAGAAGAGAAATGCCAGAAAAAATTCAGAATGACTCTAAAATGCACATGGACATGCTAGATAGGGTGCCTTATTTTTTACAAGCAGTGCACATTGAAAAAACAAGATGAAGTGAGAAAAAACTGAGAAAATGGATTGTAGCACTCCAGAAAGTGATCCTGATGTGCTAAGAGTAACACACTGTCAGATTCAGCTTAAAAATCCGGTCAGAACGTCCACTTGGTTTATCCAAAATTGAGTGAACTACAACCCTGGCAAGTTTGGCTAGAAGTGTGGTAACAAGTGCTTGAAGCCGATAGTGTTATGTGCGACCTGAGTCACGTTTCCCGCTGTATGAATTGTTAAGCGCTCTAGGGCACTTAACATTCCATACGGCGGGAAATGTGACCTGCAGGCCATGTGACGTGTGGCTGAAGACAAACATGCAGAATAAAATGCAAAAACATCGCAAAAATACCAGGAAAATTATGGCATGGCCTTTTGATAATAGTGGACTTGTAGAACTAAGTAGACAATATTGTAAACCATTGTGAGGTCCTTACAATTCATACTAGGTGGCATTTCAGACTATTGTAAGGCCTTTACAAACACAAACTAGATGGCATATCTGAACATTATGAGGCTTTTACAAACTGATACTAGAGGGTGTACTAGAATTCAATAAACAGTGTAATAAGGCACTGTAGGAGGCTTACTAAACATTGCTATACAACATGCCAGGAGTTGATATATCACTTTGTAGGCTACTGTAAGGCCCTTACCAATACTAGACTATTGTAAGCATCATATAAGCTGACACTAGGTGACATATCTAACTATTGTAAGGCCCTTATAAACTTGCATACTAGGGCATTTACTAGAGATTACTAGACACTATTGTAGGTTACTAGTGATCCTTACAAAGTGACATCAGGTGACATATTCAGACTATTGTAAGCTCATTACAAACTGATACTAAAGAGTATATTAGGAGCCAGTATAATAGGCTATTGTTGACTTGCTGAACATTACTAGACAATATACTAAGAGTCAGTAGGCGACTTTGTAGACTATTCAATAGTACAGCTCTTATCAACCCACACAACTTATCAAAAGAGAGTGGGACATTGTAGGACACATTATAAAATGGCTAGGAGTTAGTAGAGAATATAATAACAATTTCTTGTATACATTTGAATATCATGGTAGGCATATTTGTAACACTTTCTAGTGCTATTTTTTGTAATGGTTCTTATAGGTGCATTGGTAATATTTTTTGTAGTGATTCTTGTCAGCAGATTTGTAACCATTTCTAGGGTCATTTTCTGTAGTGATTCTTATTGGCATATTGGTAACAATTTTTGTCATGATTCTTGTAGGCACATTAGTCACAGTTTCTAGGGTAATTTTTTGTCGTCATTCTTATAGCCACGTTGGTAACAATTTTTGTAGTTATTCCTCTAGGCACATTAGTAACAGTTTCTAGGGTCATTTTTGGAAGTGATTCTTATAGGCATGTTGGTCACAGTTTTTGTAGTGATTCTTGTAAACACATTTGTAACTCTTTCTAGGGTCATTTTTTGTAGTGATTCTTGTAGGCACATTAGTAACTGTTTTTAGAGGCATTTTTTGTAGTGATTCTTATAGACACATTGGTAACTTTATTGTAATGATTCTTATAGGCACATGTGTAACAGTTTCTGGGCTCATTTTTTGTAGTGATTCTTATAGGCACATTGGTAACAATTTCTTGTATACATTTTAATATTGTTGTAGACACATTTGTAACACTTTCTAGTGTTATTTTTTTGTAGTAATTCGTATAGGGACCTTGGTAACATTTTTTGTAGTGCTTTTTGTAGGCACATTTATAACAGTTTCTATGGTCATTTTTTGTAGTGATGTTTAGAGGCATATTAATAACATTTTTTGTAACGATTCTTGTAGGCACATTTGTAACAGTTTCTAGGATCATTGTAGTGAATCTTATATATTAAGAGTCAGCAGATAAATTTAAACTCAGACTACTCAGTGTACTAGAATATTGTAGAATGCTTACTAGACATTATTATATCACATACTAGGAGTCAGTAGAGTATATAATAGACTATTCATGGTTTGTAGGTGGTATATTAGGATTTTGTAGATGACATTGTAGATCATTATAAGACACCTACAAACTGATACTAGGTGGCCTTTCAGACTATTATAAGGCCTTACAAATAAATACTAGGGGATTTACAACTCGCCCAGGAAAAGGCTTGAGCACGTGACAAGACGCGTCGACATGTCGACATGTCGTATCGGTTCCATGTCAATTTCTCTGTCACATTCCGCGTTCCCGGTCCCGATTCCCATTCAGCATTCCTTGTTCCCATTCTCCATATCACATTCCCCATTCCCCATTCCCCTTTTCTGTTCCTTGTTCCCCAAATTTCGTTCCCTGTTCCACCTTCCCTCCTTTCATGCATTCTCTCATTTTACAACATATTCTTTACAATCTTACTGCTAATCAGCACTGTGCTCTTCAAATATAATGAAAACAACCAATCCCATAGCTAGAGCTCCCGCCATGTTGCCACTCTCTGACTCGGTTCTCACCACCGTCAAGCTGCTCAAGAACTGTCCTATACCTAAGCAAGTTCCAAGCAAACTGCTGCTATCGAATGATGCCCAAGATTCAGTGCAAGCTCATATTAAAGCTGTTGGATTGGACCGTTATCAGTTCCACCTTAACATGACTGATCAGAGTGCGTGGCGAATGAAATGCAGGCTTCGATGCCTCTGACAAGCCACATAGATAAAGCCTTCTTCTTACTGGCTGAGCTCGGTGTGCATATACCAGATGAAATCCCATGCAAAGTACAATCAAAGTTTGTCATTCGCCATAACGATCAAGACATCGTCAAATCAAGGGACGGATCAAAAGCCTATCAGGGTCAGAACCGCCTTTACCAATGCTCATGTGGGATGGACAATACCACGGGGTGGCACCCCTCCACACGCCGGGATATTCCCTGGGCCAATGTCGGCTGCTTGGCATGGCTCCGACTAATCACCACATATGATCAAGAACATATGTTGCACATTCACAAGGGTTTTGCCTTTCTTCATATGACTATATGCACTAAATAACGTGACTATATGCATAGAAAAATGACTTATTGTGATCAATGAAGTGCATGGTATGCTCAATCATTCCCCAGCGTGTCTAGAAGAAATTGAAATGACTCGAAATCCTTCCATTCCCCTCCATCCTGAAGTCCGAGAATATGCACTATCGCTCTTTCGTAAATCCTACACTCTCACACTTGTCCGTAGTCACTGCCGAGACTGGGCTGTGGCAAGATTCAGTCCCAAGCTACCGGAATCTGACATTCTCTATGACAATGACAGCTTCCAGTACATCATGAATGACCATGAAACCACATTGCTCTATCGTACCCTCAATCGCGAACTGAGGATCAGTCAGCACTCAGCAGCACAAGACAATCTGGATCTCTGGTTCTGCACTCACGATCCACAACCACCAGATCCACAACTCTCAGAGGCTTGTCTCTACTACCAGCCACATGTTGAGGATAGTACTGATCGCTTTGTCATCATCATTTCCACTCCTACTCAGCGCTCTATGTCTTGGCGATTTGGACACAAGAAGCAGATCTTTCTTGATGGCACTTTCGGTTTCTGTAATGCTCGGGTTCTGCTGTTTACCGTCATGGCTCTCGATAACTTCTGAAGAGGTGTACCACTGGGGCATATAGTCTTCTCGGCACAAAAGAAAACAAAGCACAATGGCATGCATGCAGACTACAACAGTGCTCTGATGGCAGAGCTACTGGGACACTTCCGAGATGGTCTAGGTACGAATGAATGAGGCGAGAGCTTTGAGGCGTGTGTTGCCAACACAGACAATGACTTGAAGGAATGCTATGGCTTGAACTCCACTTGGCCGGGAATCCTGCTGATCCTCTGTCTCTTCCATACTTGGCAGTCTTGGTGCAATGGCTTAAACAAGCATCTTCGCGGAATACCAAAGGGGCCATCTCATCAAGATGTGCATGTTAGACTTGGGCGACTCTTGGTGCATCTTCTGAAGGAGATCGACGTGTACGAGGAAGCACTTCAAGCATACAACGAAGAAGTCAAACACTTCAAGACACTTGCAGCTGAGACTAGCCGGAACTCGGAGCAAAAAGCAAAGGGTGGACTGTTATTCCTTGCCTACCTGCAGCCTTATCTGAAATCTCACTCATTCTGGCTGTTGTGGTCACTCGCTGGTGTCCAAGAGGCTGCTCAGCGACTCAGGATTCCAGTTGAACAGGTCACACGAACAACAAATCCTCTCGAGTCATTTCAAGGTCGGCTCAAGAACCAATACTTCAGCTCATATCTACGCTCAGGACGACTTCCACGACTTGACATGTGGATCATCATCCTGATAATGAAGGTTCTGCCGACATTCTTCCATGAATGAGATCAGCACCGTGCTGGTGTCGAGTACTATCAGTCAAAGCGACACGCCCTTCTCAACCAGATATCTCTGCCACCATTGTCACCTCCCGCTCGTGAAGCCACAGCACCGCCCGTCTCACAGCAGCAAGCTCTTGATGCCGAGAATGCTCAGATGATGGACAGTGCACTAATGCAGGGGCTGGAGGAGGATGGCAAGAAGGAGGACGATGGGGAGGAGTTGGAAGTGGTTGAGGACACAGAGGAGGAGGTGGAGGTGATTACGAAGTACTACGGCACCGAGCTCGTCATCAAGGAGGATGACAGTGTGGGCTCAGTGTCATTGTCTCTTGAAGGTACGTGTCACAACCCAACAAGGCTTGGAAAACGCACTGAAACACATGTGAAGATGACGTGACCAGCACCAGCTTGAAGATCGAGTCATCGTTCTACGATGAGGTTGCGCTCGATCACAGCAACATTTTTTGCGACCTGCCGAGCCCTCGATGTCCTCTGCCCAAGCAACCATCCACTCCAAAGTGCCAACGCAACATCGAGGATTTCGTCCATAACCTTCCGAGTCCTCTGTGCCCATCATCTGTGATTGCGGAGTATCCATCTCCATCAAAGTGGTGCCAGTGTAACACAGAGTATTCTCCACGGCTCCTGCTGTCAGGGCTCCCACGGGATTCATCTCCGCCAAAGAGCCAGCATGAAGACAGAGACATTGACCACCGGTATCAGCCACTGCTCTTACCTTCGCTGACGAAACTTGATGGAGACATCGCACACCCCATTCTTACGCTGCAAGCATTACCAACGATGTTGTGAAACTCTCACGCAGAGCAAGACAATGCGCATGTCATCGCACTGCAAGAGGTCTTGCAAGCAGAGGATGCCCTGGCAGGTGCTTTACGGCACATGCTACAGATCGGCATGACAATGGAGGAGCTCAGTGACCATGTCAGCCCCCGTCTCCATCAGCAGCTAACGCAAGAACACTCCGGGATTGACCTCTCAATATCACCTCTATCTAAGTCTCGAAGCTTGCTACGTGCGCACACCGAATCGACACTTCTTGCTGGAGAACGGGTGATTGGTGAGAGCAGTCAATACGTTCAGACACTCATTCCTTTCGAGCCTCAGGTGAAAGAGCGTAGACACGAGTCATATAATATTAGATAAACAGAAGATTCATGGGTTGTTGAAGTTGCATGGAGTGCCTGATAGTGTCGCGGCAGAAGATAAGTCATAAATAAAAGAGAAGAAGGAAGGGGGGGTCCAGGGGGGAACACTCCGGGCATCGCCGCCGCCACTGCAACTGAGTAAAAGGACAGGAAGTATCTGGATTGTGATAGGGAAAGAGACAGGGAACAATACTAGTACGGGCAACACGACGGGGAATACAGCGATACATCGGGAATGACTAAATTAGGGAAAAAGCGCGTTGAAACTCCACTAATCCCTGGGCGGGTTGAAGGTCCAATATTAGGTGTCATACCAGGCTATTATAAGGTCATTAGAGTACTGAGCAACTTGCTAAAAGTTAGTAAACTATGTAGTAAGATATTGTAGGAGCCTATTAGACATTACCAGATCATATTATTGGGCATTGTAAGGCCTCTATTAAAAATAATAGGTAGTATGTCAGACTACTGTAAGGTACTTACAAACTGATATTAGATGTCATACTAGAAATCTGATGACATTGTAGACTATTATATGTATAAAACTTTCAGACATTTTTTTGTATGATAAAAATGATTTGAGTTATGGGAGACCCAACTTATTTTTGCTGTCAAATAGGTACCTATTGCAAACACTTAGAAAAAAATCCGAAAACATTATAAAAATATTAGGAAAAATGTGGCCTATAGAATCCAAAATTCTAAAAAACTTCTATCAGATAGTTACCTTGGAGTAGGTACATGACATCATAGGCTATTAAGGCAATCCTTGTAAAATAAATATTAATAACTTTTTAGTCATATTTTTATATAGATTTTATAAAATGACCTAGTAATATTATTTTGAAGCCATTTTTAGCTGAATCTTTTAGAATGCATACTAGTCACTTTTTAGTGATGTTTTTATGTACTTTTTGCAAAATAACTTAGTAATATCATTTTGAAGCCATTTTCAGCCAATTCTTTTAAAATGACATAGTAATACTATTTTGAAGCCATTTTTCAGCTGATTCTTTTAGAATGCATACTAGTTGCTTTTTAGTTATATTTTTGTATAGATGTTATAAAATGACCTGATAATATCATTTTGAAGCCATTTTTTAGCTCAGTCTTTTAGAATGCATACTAGTCACTTTTTAGCAATTTTGTATACTTTTGATAGAACAATATAGTAGTATCATTTTAAAGCAATTTCAAAGGTGATTTCTATGAGAGGTGTACTAACAATTTTTAGTAACATTCTGATATAGTTTTGATAAAAGGACAGAATAATATCATTTTAAAACTATGTTTTAAATAATCCTACTTTGAGATACTCAGTAATATGTTAGACTATGATCAGGCAGCTACAAATAAATTATTAAATGGTATGTGAAAGGTTGGTAGGCGATATAGCAAATGTGTAAGACTCATGTGATAATATAACATATTATTCTTGTAAAGTGTGTTGCATGTTCTTATATACTATTATAAGATTTTTATAAACTACAATCAAATGACATCTTATAAGTAAGTCAAGAGTATAATATTACACTTCAGGGTACCCTTTATCCCTAGCTCTTAGCAACAAGATCTTCTATAGTATGTCATAGCTAAGAGCTTCTTAAGTGTCAGACTGACCATGGTACCTATTATGTCCCAGGGCATTCTGTGAGATTGCCCAGGGCATAGATAGGATATAGGCTGGGCATATGAGATGATTATTATGTGAGATATCCTACTAGGCTAGGACATTAATTGTTTATCCCAGTATTACTGGTTGTCCCATGGTGTCAGGGGTACATAAGGATGTCCCACTATTAGCAGAAGATGTATTTTAGGCTGTTGTATATTTGTTGTTTCATATTTTCATGTACTGCCATACTGTATAAACCTTAATTACATAGTATGGTAAACCAGTGCTTTACTGATACTTCAAATGAGATGAGAGATCCACAAATAGTGGAATATCCCATACTAAGTTTTATATTCACCTGCAGTGTTATAATACTAATTACTATTAGTGGGATGTATGACATGTTCATTAGATCAAATAATAACTATAACAGGCCAAACAACAGTTCTTATTCTGGTATTTTAAAAGTAATTATACCTTTTCTGATGCAATGTTCAAATTAATGTGATGTCACCTTTAGTATATTACATCTAACATGAATATTATATAACTTTTATTAATAACCAGAAGAAACACAGTAACTCAGTCTACTTATACACTAGCAAATAAGAGACACTTTAGTCAAGTCTGCTACTATAGAATGTACCTGAACAAAACAAGGAAGACATTTGACCTAAGATTGTAGTAAAGTTACATTCACAAACACATACACCCAATGACTTCTTATACTCTGGGACATTATGCTATAGGATGGGCTATCCCATCTAAGGACCTGTTACTCTCCAATCTTAATAATACAATGACTAGTATAGGTCTTTAGGTAATTATAGTAGTCTATCAGATATATTCAGACAAATAATAGCCTGAATAGCTGTCAGCATACAAATAAATCATATTTTAGGATGTCCTTAAAATAGGATGTCCTTAAAATGGTATATCCTTAAAATGAAAAGTCCCATTTTTATATAAAGTGTTAATAAAGCACTGGTTTACCATACTATGTAATTACAGTTTATACAGTATGGCAGTAGATGAAAAGATGAAATAATAAATATACAACAGCCTAAAATACATCTTCTGCTAATAGTGGGACATCCTTATGTACCTCTGACACCATGGGACAACCAGTAATACTGGGATAAACAATTAATGTCCTAGCCTAGTAGGATATCTCACATAATAATCATCTCATATGCCCAGCCTATATCCTATCTATGCCCTGGGCAATCTCACAGAATGCCCTGGGACATAATAGGTACCATGGTCAGTCTGACACTTAAGAAGCTCTTAGCTATGACATACTATAGAAGATCTTGTTGCTAAGAGCTAGGGATAAAGGGTACCCTGAAGTGTAATATTATTAGAAACTCACTATATTATACTAATCAATATACCAGTTATTGAATAACATTATAAACTATTATAATGCTTTCATTTAAAAAGTGCTTGCATTTTCTTATAACTTTTTGGTACAGACATATAGCATGCTGGACTATTGCAGTACTGTTACCAAATATTCATAAGTAAAATGTCAGATAAATAGGATACTAAAATATTGTAATGCAGTTATTAATGATACTTAGAGTATCCAAATATAAGACATTCTAATATTTTATTCCTTTTTGATATCTGTATAAAATGAATTTTTACATAAATGTAGTTAGAATAAAAACTCAATTTCAGAGCTTCAAAAAATTATACACTAACAAGAAAGACTTGAGTTCTTTATACTTATTAATATAACATAAACTTTTAGTAGATTTTCACCTAAAGTGACTGTTTTAAGTGAATATAAATGGTGAAACCTTCGAATAAATACCAAATAAATATACAACATGTTATCCAATGCAATGGACCACTCTTCACAAGTAATCAACTACTAAGGAGTAATACAAAATGATTAAAGCATGTGAGAACAATTAGATAATGAGAGAAAGGCAGGAACACAGGACCTCAGGAATCGTTCCTGCCATGCAAAGCAGTGACCTACTCTCCACAAGTACAAATTTATATGCATGAGATGCATTATAATTTCTGAGGTATGAAGGAATTGTTCTTTATGAGATAGGGCTTTCGCCAGATCTTGAGGGACAGATGAAATGGCCCTTATGCATCAGAATATATGAGATGCATCTAGTCCTGAGTTAGGTCTAGGGTTGAACTACAAACTTTGCAGTGCCTGTTGTTACTGTACTATATCTTGCAGTGTTTCAAAGTGATTATAGTAAAAATCAGCGTGACTTGCACAAATAGTAATCAATATGAGCGCCACAGCAGCCACAGAAGGCTAATGCATTATGCAAGCACATACTAATTCCAACACACACACAGCAGTCCCATTAAAATTAATGCAGGAAATGAAGCATAATGCTCTGTTAAACCAAGTAAATCTGAGTAAAACTGGCAGAGATATCTGAGTTTTAGATTAGAGTGCCAAGTCTGAAGTGCAGAAAAATTGTATAAATGTCAGAAATTTTTTTCAATGACTTTACAATGCACATAAACATGTTAGATAGGGCGCCTTATTTCTTACAAGCAGTGCACATTTTGCTTTCCTTAAAGAAACAAGCAAAAGTGAGAAAAAACTGAGAATATGGATTTTAGCACTCCAGCAAGTGATCCTGACATTCTATAAGTAACACTGTCAGATTCAGCAAACTTTGGTCAGAATGACCTCTGGGTTCATCCCAATCCCAGCAGAATTGAGTGAACTACAAGTCTGGCAAATTTGGCTAGATGAGTGGAAACAAGTGGTTTGAGCCAAAATGGATTGTAGCCCTGCAGGAAGTGATTCTGGTGTTTTGAAAGTGATACCCTCACATTCAGCTCAAAAAACCGGTCAGAATGCTTACTTGGTTCATCAAAATCCAAGTAGAATTAACTGAGCTACAAGCCATGCAAGTTTGACATCATGGCCTGAGTCCAAAAATCTTATCCAAATGCAGTAGGCTGACTTTCAACACACGGCTGAGTTTAGAAATTTTGTCAATGGACCTCACTAATTGACAAGATTTCTAAACTCCCCATGT